CGGGGGAGGGGGCTGGTGAGGAGAGAGAAAGGATGAGAGAGAGAGGGAGATACGCAGATAGAGAGAGAGAGAGAGAGAGAGAGAGAGAGACATAGAGACAGAGAGACAGAGAGACAGAGAGAGAGAGACAGAGACAGAGAGAGAGGGAGAGAGGCACAAAAGAGGCAGAGAGAGAGGGACGGAGAGATATTTGAGAAAGAGAGGAAGAGAGAGAGAGGGGAGGCACACGCGCACACACACACACACACAGACAGAGAGAGAGAGAGAGAGAGAGAGAGAACGAAACGAGAGGACACGAGCCCTACGAATGAGAGAACCAGGGAAAGAAATAAAAGGCAAGTTTATTAATGTGTTTTTGTACGCATATTTTGCACTCCTAAGTGTATAAGAGCCGAAGATTAACGATCTTACCAATGAATAACAAAGACATAAAAGAAGGAGGAGAAATAAGGACAATAAAATATGTTTGATGGGAGCAAACCACACGAGAGAGTATTCCAATTCCCCACAAATCATGTCAAACAAAATCTTTATTCATTTATTAGCTATGCGTATACAGACATAGTTGCCAACGCATACACAGAAACTTATCTACTTATCTAAACAGAGTCATAAACATACACGTGCGTGCACGCACACACATACACACACACACACACACACACAAACACACACACACACACACACACACACACACACACACACACACACACGCTATATCCCCCACATACACACCCACCTCCACCCACCCACCCCTACACACACAATAAATACCCACCCAACAATTCGAATGTACACACCCACAAACAGATTTTTCTGCCATCATTTATCAAAATACAGTATGTGCAGTTTTTCCAGTTTTACAGGAGAGCCATAATACTGAATGTTGTTACCAAGAAAAGAAACTCTTTGCAAACATCCCAAGTCAATACTCTTAGAATACCTTGGAAGGCAATTTTTATGACAACTTCCTAATCATAATTATTTAACCCTATCCGCACGTCCTTGAGTCCTTTTGTACCCCCGGGGTTGTATTCTTCACATTTTAGAGTACTTCTAGTGCGAAGATCTCTTTGAAACCTTCATTATTTCTTTAGAAAAAAAACCCATTTTGACAGACTGTCTTGCAAGCGTTCAAAATCGGATTAACGAGTAAATTTCCTCTTTGGAAAGTGGTGGCACAGAGTTCCCCACGTCGTATGGATACGATAGTAAAACACGAAGTACTGATAGGGTTAAAGCAATTAATGCCGTTTTCCTGGTGACAGCCTAGCGATTTTTGACTCTCTTGTGTTATTGTAATAACTGCACATATTACGTGCTTCTAAAAATGACGGCGGTTTTGTTGTCAACTGTTAAAGAGATGAGCACAAGCAAAAACGCCCATAACACTTTAGCGCCAGAAGCCACCACTTCCCCGTCGCAGTCACCACGCAGACTGACTCCTAATCTATCTATCTATCTATCTATCTATCTATCTATCTATCTATCTATCTATCTATCTATCTATCTATCTATCTGTCAGCACAACCCGCCCACTCACCCCACAAATGGAGGCAGGCTGTAACACAATCGTTGCACCTCCCAGCACAGCATCCACGACTATCGTAGAGATTCGGCCGCACTGTGAACGAAATACGAGGAAAGGCATCCTTAATGATCAATTTTTGGGGGTATTAGTAAGGGTTTTAGGGCGCTAGCAACTCAAAAAGATCATATAAGTGTCGAAGCTTAGAGGGGGAACTAGAGAGTTAGCCTACATGATGTACAAAGAGAAGGAGGAGGAGGGATGAGGACGATATATATTTGATAGGAGAGAAAGAGCAAACCACACCAGGGCACCCACCAAACCAGACAAGATGGTTCTATATGTGAGGCAGCGTGATGGAATCAGACTCTCGTCAATTTTTGGGCATGTAGAGTTATTGGTCTCATCGTTAAGCTTGTTCACTTGTGTTTACTTGGATGAAAAAAATATCCATTTATCTTGAATACAAGTCGAGATATTTGCGAATGAAGGAGGCGGGAGTCACCTGTTTTCAGGGGTAAGATTAGTGAGAAAATGGCAGCCAAAGATTAGTTATTTCCTTAGCTTAAGACTCCGTGGTAACTGAAAATGTACTTTTTTGTGCCTTTAATCAACGTTTTTCAGTAAAATCCACACAGAAATGAGTTCTTTAATGGGCATGAAAGGTGTTGAGTCGAAAAACAAAAATTTGATAAAAATTCACAAACCAACAGAAAAATACAAGTTTCTTCACTTTGATTATTTTGACGAGAGCCTGATTCCACCACGTTGCCTCACATATTAAAGAGGTTGAGGGATTCAGAGCAAAGGGAGATGGTGGTCAATTTTTGAAATACGGATTCAAGATCTAATGATGTCTCTACAAGCACATGGTATGTACGCTGAAACACACACAAAAACAAAAACAAAACAATCAAACAAAGAAACAAAAAACCAAGACAAAAACCAAAAATATCCCAAAAATGAAAAGCAATTTTTAAAAACCACACAGCCAGACATGTAGGTGTTTTATGCCCCCTGACCATCATGATTTATTTTTATAGAGGCACCAGCCATCCATGTACAGGTGCTGTTTTAGCCAAAAAATAAATATTCACTTCTGTTGATTTATTGGTCATCGTCAGACATTGACAGAAGAGCTATTATGATTATTATTATTATTATTATTATTATTATTAT